AAAAAAAAAAAAAAAATAATAATAATAATAATAATAATAATAATAAATACTAATCTACACCAGATGGGGTATGCAAATTGCCGCATATTGCTCGCATACCCCCTTCGCACTTCTACTCGAAAGTTTATTTTTTATTTCTTTCATCTTTCATCGTTTAATTTAGTTTAATTTTTTTTCTTCAGGTATGAGAAATGCCATATACACAAAACTATTAGTCGAAAAAATTATTCAGCGACACAACTGTGACATACAAACGTCGCATATTATTCGCAGAGTTGGTAAAATTTAATTTTTATAAACCGCTGACAGTTGGAACAACATAATATTTTTAATATTTAAATTTCTGAATGGTTTAGAAACCGCTGGCAGTTGAAACGTTACGACCGATTTCGAGGCGTCTTATTCGCTTTTCGAAATGCATGGGCAGTAAAAGCGCGCACACAAATCATTTCATCCGACTATATAAAGCGTGTAATCTTCGATCCATATCATGCCACTTCTCTTTCTACCCCTACGTCTCCCAGAACTCTTTGTTAACGATCCTCCGTTTTTCCCTTGTCTTGTATATGAGAAGCAGTTCGCCGGAGATAAACCAGAATTACAAAAATTCTTTCTTTCGACTCGTGATGCAATTCTTTACGATTAGTGTGTCCGAATTGGAAACTCCTATCCTTCCAAATTCGTCGGAGGAAAAAATTCAATGAGCGAAAGTTTCGCTATCCAACTTTATTAACGTGGCCCCCGTAGGAAACATATATGCCGAGAGAGCGACGATGAAGATCAAACCTTCGGGTCCAGGTATTGCCGGATCAACTGTGAGAAGGTTGAAGGTTGGAATGTCGCGCATCGGCGGCAGGGGCGAAAATGGCCCGACCCTCTGTCAGAGGCAATACTGGCCTCAATCCTCTCGAGGTTGTGGTCGGCCAAGTTTTTCTGACAGAGGAAGGTGTTTAGTCGATGGAGATCTCTTCCCCGAACCCGTTTGCGCCCATCGGTTGAGAGCATGGTGGTCGATGCCGAGCTCATGCTGAAGTTCTACCTGAAACTCCACAAACAAGCTCCACCTACAGCTTCTCTTTCTGGAGTTTGACTGCTGTGGTAACTCGTCGGCTCCCTCGTCCTAGCTTTTGTTAGGCTGGTCCTTCGATTTTTTTTTTTTTAACTTTGTAATTGGCTGGGGTTGAAAAGACTGTAAAAGCAGTAGTGTAGGGATTTCTGTTCGATCTTTTATTCTGCGAAATACAAACGTCGCATATTATTCACCTAGTTGGTGCATAATATGTTTTTGTGTAGAATTTAATATTTGGAAAATTCTAAATAGTTTAGGCTAATGAACCTAAGACAATTAGTCGAAACAATTTCGCATACCAACCGCACAACATTCCTAGTATAATCGAAGAATTGTTTTAAACAAAAATAGTTTTTGGAAGCTTTTTATTCTGCGACACATAATTGCGACAAAAAAACGTCTCGTATTATTCGCCTAGTTGGTGCATAATAGTTTTTTTTATAGAATTTAATTTTTTGAAAAATCTTGTTTAGGCGAAATGAACCTGAGACTATAAGTCGAAAATATTACGCACAACAAACGCATAACATTCGTAGTATAATCGAATAATAATTTAAAAAAAAAAAATTATTTTTAGAATTTTTCTATTCTGCGAAATACAAATGTTGCATATTATTCGTTAGTTAGTGCATAATAAGTTTTTTTTTTTTTTTGTAGAATTTAATTTTGGAAAATTCAACAGTTTAGGTTAATGAATCTGCGACAATTAGTCGAAACAATTTCGCATACAAATCGCACAACATTTGTAGTATACTTGAAGAATTTATTTAAACAAATTGTTTTTGGAAATTTTCTATTCTGCGACACACATAATTGCGACAAATAAACGTCGCATAATTCATTCGCAAGTCCACCGCAGGATATTCACATACTCACTTTTTGTGTAAAACAATTATTATTGAACAATTATTTAAAATATTTTA